TATGTAGATATGCAATGATTGGCTCCTAGAGCCCCTGGTACCATGTACCAGGTATTACAAGAGTGACTGGTCACTCTTCATGTAACTTGGGTACACTGGGTACGTACCCCGTTACATGGTGAGTTGGGTGAGCTGGGCTTGGTTGTGGTTGTGGGGTCGAGTTATCGAGTGGATCCATGCTATGGAGATATTATACTGTGATGGGATAAAATTGAAGAAGTACGTGAATTTGATTGAATGTTAGATTTACTGGTGCTGTGAGGGGAGATTTGTGTAGTTCGTGTATGCATTACGGTGATTCATGCTGTTTCGAGTGGTTAGTATTGTGATTTGAGTGCCGCAAGTACTGTTCAGACATTTATTTTATTTTTTGAGTGCAAACAGGACGTCGTCCCGTGCAGCCGTGCTACAGCGCGTTATGTTGGCCACTCGGTAATCAACTCGGCATGTGACAAGGCAATTCGCTCGTGTGCTTTGTTCGAGTCGGACAGATGACATGTCTTGTGCACTATCCAGACGTTTTTATTAGGATTTGACGCGGACTTCGCCACTTGCCAGCCAACGAAAGGAAGTTTACACTCGAGAACCAGTTCCACCGAGGCTCGGTGTGATGGCTAATACATGTACATGTACCGTAATCCGATTTCTACAACCTATCCTACACCAGTCAGGTGCTACTCCTCCTCGAACGATGATCATCGTTCCCGAGATGGCTACTTTCGTGAGTCATTGCCTTGGATGGAGCCATTCCACAATTTGCAGCGCATCAAGTAACTTCACAGCTCAACGTTTCTAGAAGCATGCAATTAATCCGACTTATCCTTGCAACCATGCTTGTTCTTCTGCCGAGCAGTATCGACATGGTCAATGCTGCTAACTGCGGGGCCAAGACGACAACCGACAATCTCCGTACCGTGGAACCCGTCCAGGCCGTCAGCTTGGCAGAATCTCCCGACTTCGCTGCTGCAGAAGAAGAGCGAGGGGCCCAAAACGCTGGAGCTGCTGCGCGTGTCGTCGGAGGAGCCTCTGTCCCGGTTAACGGTCCTCCGTCAACAGTCGGTGACGAGATGGTCACTGTCACAACTTTCGATGGCAACGGCTTCTTCCAGCGCGTGGGCAAGTGGTGGAGCCGCGCATTCGGCGCCGGGAACGAGAAGTCGCGAAGAATTCGACAGTGAAAAAGCATAAGCCCAACATATTTATCCGCATATAGACAACCATAGACCTGCATTCGATCAAACCGCTTGCTTAAAACCAGTCAAGAATATTGTCAGAGAACTTTTCAGAGCGACAATATTACCGAGATAAAGAAAGCAACGAGGGGCAGAGGTCGTTGCCAACTTCTCACAGATTTGAATGGAGACCATTGAATGCCGACTCAACAGACGGAAGGCAAAGCCACAACGCAATACAGAGTTGATGGGTACTTGTGCAGTCAAGATAATATGCACTACTAGTACAATTCAATCAAACTACACGAGCTTGCCAAGGTGTGGGATTTAGTCTGGTAAAGTGTATATTTTTTTAGTAGATGGCCTAAAACTGATCTGTCAATGGCCTAAAACGTAGATACAGACTCGGTATCTTCAGTTTAGGCTATACACAAAAGAAAGCTGGCTTTGCCAGTCTAACGTGTGTATGCGCTCAAGTTTTGTTTCAGACAACAACAGGAGGCTTCATGCAGTCGGAGGCAAGTTGTCAGGACGTTTGTGGGCAGCAAACGCCACATGGGCGCATGGCTGGCAAATGAACGATCGTTTTTCAACTGGCCGCTGAATATCAGTAGTCCCGTCCCTGCATCCAACGTTTGGACGGCTTTGGGCTTCGGGAGAGTTCATTTGTCTCCCCTCCATCGTCGGTCATGGCAGCCACCGCCACGCCGACGCACGCGCCCAAGTGGAACGTCAAGCAGCTCCAGCAAATGGCAGCAGGCGGCGGCGCTGGCATTGTGGCCAAGACGGTGGTGGCTCCATTCGAGCGTGTCAAGATCGTGTGCCAGACGGGCGAGAGCGTAGGCATGTTGCAGACCACACGCAGCATCTTCGTGAGCGAGGGCGTGTTTGGCTTCTGGCGTGGCAACATGGCGGCTTGTGTGCGTGTGGTGCCTCATAAGGCTGTTCTTTTCGCCTTCTCTGACTTCTACAAGGACGTTTTCCGGTCTATGGACCCGTCGGGACAGCACAAACTGCCGGCCTGGGGGCCGTTCGTGTCCGGGTCTTTGTCGGGCTTCACGGCGTCTATCATCACGTACCCGTTGGACCTCATTCGTACGCGCGTATCGGGTCAAATTGGGGCGAATCTGGTCTACAGCGGCATCGCCCATACGTTCATGAGGACATTGAGGGAGGAAGGACCTCGTGCTCTTTTCCGTGGTATCGGCCCCACACTTTTCGGAGCGCTGCCTTATGAAGGCATCAAGTTTGGGAGCTATGACATTCTCACGAGTCTTTTACCCGAAGATATCGACCCCAAGGCGGATTTTGCTGGTAAAATCCTGTGTGGAGGAGGAGCAGGAGTGCTCGCCACGATCTTCACGTACCCGAACGACACAGTGAGGCGACGACTGCAGATGCAGGGAGCAGGAGGAGCCGCCAGGCAGTACAAGAACGCGTGGGACTGCTACGTCAAGTTGGCGCGGAACGAAGGCTGGACGGTGTATTACAGAGGGCTTACACCCACACTGGTACGAGCTATGCCCAATATGGGCGTCCAGTTCGCAACCTACGACTTCCTCAAAAGCTTCATTGATTGACGGAATTTAGAAATGCATGTTTGAGGTAAAATGCACGTTTCTAAAACTTTATGAGGCTTCACTGTTCTCGTCGTCCGCTGCGATCATCGCAGTAGCGAGCTCCTGTTCGTCGTCGGTTAATACGCCCTTTAGAGTGGATAAATCCTTCTGAAAGACCGTCTTGACGACTGATTCCAGTGCTGCACGACGGTGTGTTTCTCGCTTAACGTCAGTACTGAACCGCTCCATGAGACTCGGACGCGTTGCTGCAGCTACTAAGAGCTTCTCCTTATTGCGAGCGATCGCCTCTTTAAATTGTTGTCGTTGTTCTCTTGCTTTCTCCTTAGCAACGACGTCCATATCTTTTAAATCCACAAAGTTCCCAGCGTAATTATCACGTCGGGCAGACTCCGATCGCTTGACTTGAGCACGTACTCGACGAGCAGCTTCTTCACGTCGACGTTCTCGAGCCTCAGCTTCTCGTTCTTCACGCTGTCTTTCCTTCTCTTGCTTGGCAGCTTCAGCCATCAGCTTCTGTACGCGCAAAGTTTCGGATTTCGTAGGTTTCCACTGACTCCCAGCTTCGGTTGCTAGTGACGCACGCGTCCGTGCTAACAGCTTCTCTTGAGTTCGTCTAGCGTGCTGTTGAATGGCTTGCTCCTTCGCTTGTTGCCGCTGCTTACGCGCTTCTTTCTTCTCTTGCAACTCCGCAAGTTTTGCAGCTCGAGAGATGAAAAATTCGGCGTTTTTCTTCGCTGAAACTTTAGTATCATTTGCTTCTTCTTCTTCGTTGCGTCTTGAAAGTTCTTTTCGTTTTTTTAAAGCAGTTTCCCACTTGGAATGCAGTTGATCAAAGTTTGGCACTGGCTTTGGTCGATTTCTCTGTGTTCTGACCTCTTCTTCAGCTGCAGCTCGAAGCTTCTTCTTCATTTTCACAGTCATACGTTCATCCTCTCCATCGTCATAAGAATTCTTGCTGACTATGGCCATTCTTGGTGGCAGTTCAGCAGACTGCATCATCTCCTGGGCTCGCTGTCGAATTCTCTGCTTACGTTTTTGTTCGGCCTCCTCGGCATCTTCAGCGGACAAGTAGGTTGTTAAAGGTACGTCTCGAGCTTTGGCTCGTTTGGAGCGAGCCTTCCATTCTTGTTCGAGCACTTTGTGATGCTGAGATTTGCGTTGTTGAGCTAGTGCTTCTCGTTCCAATAATCTTTGTGGAGGTGCAGCACGATGAGCTCGTTCGAGCTTTTCCGTTGCTTCCTTTGCGAGTTGTTCGGCCTCAGCCTGTGCACGAGCTTTCTCTTCGAAGAACGCACACGAACGTCCTAACTCCTGACTGTCTTGAGCACTTCGATGCGTTCTTGTCGCTGAAGGACTGCGGGATCTACTTTGACTCAGACGCTGGACGTGAGACGACATCGCAGCGCTCGATCGCGACCTTGATAGTGATCGTGATCTCGATGAAGACATGTCTAACTTGCTTCGAGAACGTGAGCGTCGAAGAAGCTTCGATGGTTCAGGTGAGCTGCATTCTGAACATTAACGTGGTTAGTAGATTGTTACTAGGTATTGTTACATCACGCTGTTTACCTTGCGGTTCCGAGGTCGGTCCGGGTGGTAGTGATTCGTCACCAGTCCAAGCTGGCCAGCTTGAGCGCTTAAATGGTGACGTCTACAAGAATTAAATGCACGTTAGAATTAGAGTTGTTATCGTCAACCAACTTAGTTAATAGCTTACCGCAGGCGACGCAACTGTGTGGTATGGTGGAGGTGACTTGGTTGCGTCGTCCCAGTCGCTGAGCTCTGGACTGACTTCTTCTGAATCATCCTTACAGTTGGCATCTTCAGTATCGCTGTTGCTACACGAGCAAATCTTCTCGTTATTTTCTTCATCGGATTCTTCACGAAGGATAATATCTGGTCGTGTCTTGTGCCTCGTTGACTTCTCCTTGCTCTGAGATAATTGACGCTGCTGTTCTCTCAATTTCTGCTCCAGACGACGAGCTTTGCGTTCAGCCTCGTCTTTCTCACGCTGCAGTCTCTCGAGAGCTTCGAACTCGATGCGTTGGGACTCCTTGAGCTTACGCAGTTCCTCCAAAACCTGATCTTGAAAAGACTGAGAGACAGCGTCGACAGGATAGTTCTCTCTGTTCACAGGTAGACTTTCATCACCTTCAGCAGCCATTTCATCAAACGAGAACCTGCTACTGCCTCGAGATTCCTTTAACCTTGTTGACTTGTCATTTAGGCTTGGGGAACCGCTTCGAATAGGGACCACTGCAGTTTCTTGTCTTCTCTTGGGTCGGCTATTCGTACGATATCGTCGCTGAGCTTCCAAGTCGCTGATAATTCGTTCTACATCTTCAGTCTACAAGCATTGAACAGTGAGTCATACTCGAACCAAGAATGCACTGTAGTAAATTCATGTACCTCCCGCTGTTTCTGGTTAACATCCAGCATCCTATATCGACTGCTATTAGCACTGGAGCTGAACTCATCGTCCTCCTTTAACGTCGATCTCGGTACTGTGACTCTAGCCGACCATGACGCAGTTGTGGAGATTGCAGGACTCATCCCTCAATCTGCAAGAGGCAACGAAATATGAGGACAAGCCTTGAGCTCAACACTTACAGGTGTCTAGAACGAAATGCAGATTAGTCACTTAGCTCCTCATCAAAATAGCGTCTACGTCATACTAAAAATATGTGAAGCCATGCGGAGAGCAGTCTCATGTCTGTCGGTAGAACATCTTGCTGCGTCTATGGCAGTGGATGAACCAGCGACAGTAGTTTGCTCAGCGCAGATCATGGTACTTGGGTGACTATCTTGCAGTCACCTTATTTGGACGTCGAGACGGCGCTAGCAGCGGCGAAGGCTTGCTCCAGATCAGCCCAGATAACTTCAACGTCCTCCTGGCCGATGGAAATGCGAATGAGGTTGCGGTCTACGCCGCAGGACTCCACGAAGTCCAGCTCGCCATAATGCGCGAGTAGCGTGTACGGACACGACAGCGTGAAGTTCGTACCAAGACTTGGTCCCTTGGCGACCGTCATAGCGTTGTAGAATGCCTTGGCTGGCTCCAGGCCGCCATGCAGTACGATCGAGAACAGCGGACCATAACGAGGCTTCTCCTCGTCGCCCGGATTCAGGAACGGATCGTACAGACTCTTGGCATCGCCCAGTGTAGGGTAGAATACATCGTTAACCATCGGATGCTTCTGCAGTCTCTGTACAATCTCAGCTGTAGTAGCGTTCGTCTTAGCAAGACGCTCGTGTAGGCCCTTGGACTGTTCCAACAGCGTCTCCACGTCGTCCTCAACGATAAAAGAGTCATTTTCAGGGTCGAAAATCGCCTCGAGTTCCTTAAATTTCGGACTCTCCGGGTTCAGCACCACACTCCCGCCCATAACGTTGCCAGTACCGCTGAAAATCTTCGACAAACTGGTAGCCACGAGGTCTGCGCAGCCATGTTTCATCGTATTGACATTGTAGGACCCCACCGTATCGTCTACGACCAGTACAGTGCCATTGTCATGAGCGCATTTCGCCAGTCGCTTAAGGTCTGCCATAGACAGCAGTGGGTTACTGGGGAACTCGGTCCAAATGCCCAGAATCTTCTCCTTGGCTACAATCGCCTCAATATGCTGCATTACGTCTTCTCCGCATGTGGGGAAGAAGTGAACTCCTTGAGCACACCACTCTTTTCTCGACAGAATCTTCAAAGTGTCAACATAGGGGAATCCCACCAAGATGCTCTTGTAGTCCGACCCACGAAGCTGTTGTATGAGTCTCACGGTGGAGAAGATGGCTCCCATACCAGTAGGGTATAGAGCCACTTTGTTAGCGTCTGCAGAGGGCAAGTAGAGCTTCGAAATGCGCTGTCTGAGCGCTAAGTGGCTGGCTGTACCTCTAACTGCTGGACTCTTCACTTCTCCATCGCTCTTGAGCACTTGGAGAAGCTTTTCGGCGTGGCGGGAAGCCACGATCTCTCCTGAGTGTTGCCAGAACTGCTTGGCCGTGAGGCTGATGCGGCGTGGGAAGCGTAAAGCGTGGACGGCGTTCTTGACGACATGGACTGATACCTCATCACTGTTGACCGAATCAGAATTGCTGGCCAATAGGAAGTGGCGGAGACGCTCCGCTGCGTCAGAGGTTGGTACTGTCATGACCTCCCATTGGCTGACGTCGTCGTCGGGGGAAATCTGATTCTGAGTAGCGGTCTGTAGCGCAACCACCAACGGGTGGCGGAAGAAGCGAGGGTAGCCGCACGCCATGGCGTCCAGCACCTCCGCTCGACCTTCCTCGTAGCCCACGACGTGCTCCCAGTCGGGCATGGACACGGAGATGGCGTTCGTGTCCCGAGGCGGCAGCGAGATGCCCAGTGGCTCCGACGTCAGGGGCGACATCAGTCTTGAGCTCTTGGACCTTCAAAACGATAGTGACGGAGCTGTAGCGCAATTTCGGCATGGTTTATTTGGGTTATTCGGAACCAACTGAAAAAAAAGTCTGATTTTGGGTCGTAATAATATTATTTTGGTTGGCTTTAGAACATAGTTCCAAAATCTCGTCGTGACGCATGATGATTGGCTAGGATGGCATTCAGACGAAAAAAACCCATTAAAATTTAATGGATTATTTTTCGTCTGAATGCCATCCTAGCCAATCAAATCTCTCATGTCCCAAAAAAACTTTCAATCATACCAGTATGATGGTACTATTGAAATGTTACAGGTTATGTTCTCTCAGGATTTTTTGCAGAAAATAAATTACCAGATTTTGAAGCCTTTGTTTGTAGTTTTCTTTTAGATTTCACGCATAATATTGGAAACCAAGTTTTAGACAATTACCACAATAACACTTAATGATGAAAAAAAAAGAGTATTTTATCTCACCACCCACTTGGTTGGAGTGCCATAACCGTTTCCATCTATTATTGCCTTGAATTTGGCGCATTACTCAACGTACGTGGAGGGGTGGAGCTGACAAGTGTCGGTGAGTGTCTGCAATGGATCTAACTGCGCTCTGGAACCGCGAAAAGACTCGCCTCTCAGCGGAACTACATTTCGTCGGAGTCTTCCCCACGAATGGTGGAACCAGAGCAAGTTTCATTTCTGCAAAGAACGACAGCGACAACATACCGACTGCCAGTAGCAACCGCACTAGAAACTCCATCATCGCGCCAAGTCCGACAGTGAAGCCTTCAGCTGGTCCAAAGAAAAAGTCATCAACACAATCCAATGCAAATTCCATGCGAGATCGAGTATTTCAACTGATGGTGGACACAAGCATCGCCCCATTGTCTACTGAGACCACCTCTCGCTTCTTTGGTAGCAATGAATTTGCTATGGAATATGCCGATCGGGCTGTCCGTCGGTTTGTCCCTCAACCAACTCAACCGCTTAGTATTACTTCGCCACCTCCAACCAACAATAACGTCGGATTTTCCTCGAACTCCCGAGGCCCGACAGTGCGAAACCAATCGACCCGTGCGAGTACAATCTCCCTTCACGCTCCGTCGTCTTCTCCCGTGCAAATCTCTCAATCATCAGTGCAGCCATTCCCGAAATCTTCACAAATTCTCGCTAGGAAGAACGGACGCAAACGTGCAGGCACTGAGTATTCCTCGCAAGCTTTGAAGCCTTACGGCGGTGATATATTCGGAACCCGCGGTGATTACATTGACGGTATGCTCTATATGAGTCGAATGAAGAGAAGTTATCAAGCGGTGATCTCCAGTGGCAAAAAGATCGAGTTTAACTTCGTTAGTCCTCCATGGGGGGAACTCGCGAAAGTAGAAGGACGTAATGTACTGAAAGACGGAGTATCAGATGCGTTTGCTGTCGCTGGTGGGGATGGAGGCAAGTTGAGTATCTCGGTCGCTTCTCGTCGTGCTGGATCTGTGATTATCCTTACAAACCCGAACGAAGACAATGAAGAACTTGGATCCACGTTAACCAGTGTACAACGCAAGCAGCAGCAACGATGCTCGTTAACGCTAAGTAACTGGAGCTTTAACCCAGAGAACGCACGTCTCATGGTCCAAGAAAATGTAGTGGAGGCTTTGATTCGCCTGTGTAAGGACGGAGATAAGACCACTCGACTGAACTGCGTCACCGCGTTCATGAACCTATCACACCTTTGTGAACTGAGACGCGTAATCGTGCTGCAAGGAGCTGTGAAGACTGTGGCTGAGATTGTGAACGACATGGAGGACAAGACTATCCGGACAGCTTGTGCTATTACGTTGTGTAATTTGTGCTCCTTACAGGGAGAAGAAGGACTTTTGGTTGAGGATGGCGCAGTGAGTGCGTTGTCGACTTTGATCAATGAACACGAAAAGGTATCGCACATTTGTCGTTGTGCACTATTCAACCTCACCTGCGTCTCGCAGTCTTATCACAAGATCGAGAGTGTCTTGAAGGCGTTTATCGCCCTCACATCGACTCGAAATAGCAGCGGGAACAGTGGATTTGCTGTTAAAACGGAGGAAGAATACGACGATATCACGGCCAAAGCTCTGTGCAATTTATCCAATCTCAAACGCATCCGATTGCGACTGATGGAAGAAGGAATCGTCAGCGCGATAACTTCGCTACTGCATCCAAATATCCCGTTGATCCAGGAACTTTTAGCACATACTCTACTCAATTTGTCCCGACTTTCGACTTGCAGGAGCGAGATGGTGGCAAAAGGATGCATGGGTACACTAGCGGCACTTACAGGGGCTTCAAATGCAATGACGACCAAATGTTTGATCGGAATTACACTGTGGAACCTTAGTAAAGACCCTGGAAATGCTGTACGAATGGTACAAGAAGGGTTACTCTTACTTGTGAACGAACTATGTCGAGAGGACATAACCCAAGATTCCATTCCTGAAGAGGAACCTCCAACAGTAACCACAAAAGACGAGGATATTCTACAAGTGTGCGCTCGTACACTGTACAATGTTTCTTGTTGTGAGGATTCCCGATCAAAGTTAGTGGAACGAGACGCTGTCAATACGTTGTCGTCGATATCAAGACGGTCCAGTGGAGACGATGCTAAGCAAATGTGCACCTTAGCGCTCTGTAACTTGTTAAGTGTACAGAAAGCAGCGGCAGATATAGTGACTGCAGGAGCAATCACGGCATTAATTCAACTGAGTATGGCACCAGGACAGGCGTATGAGACTCGCAGTCTCTTCTCGAAAGCTCTACACGGTCTGTGCGATAAAGCAGCTACTAGATCCGCAGTGACTGATGCCGGTGTGATCCCTGCGCTTCTCTTCCTCTCCAGTATCGACAACGACGTGATTACTGAAGAAATTGCTTGTATTTTAAGTGAAATTCGCGCTCGGTGCACTGCAGCGTTTGCTTGTTTAGCTGCTGATAGTCACACTGCAGTTCATGTGTGCAACGCTGCGGTGGTGCAATGTGTGACGAGAATTCTCGTTCTTGAGCACTCTAACGTCACTATTGAACGTTTCTGCTGCTCTTGCTTGAGTTTACTATGTCGAGACGAGCAGTGCTCGCTTATTATGGTCGAAGTGGGTGCGATAGAGATGGTGCTAGCCACTTGTGTGGAATCTCACGATCAAGAGAGTAAGGCTTCTTGTTGCCATGTTCTGGCCAGTGTATCGCACCATCCAAGTTGCTGTATGGCTCTGGTACGTATGGGGGTGATATCGGTTCTAGCAACGTTAGCGAAGATCAAAGAGAACGCCATAATTCAACGTTGTTGTGCCATCACACTCGCGAATCTGTCGGTGGAACCGGAAATTCGAGAAACCTTGGCATCTGCGGGTATTGTCGCTATTGTATCGGTACTCAGTAACTCGTACAGCGAAGACAGTCAACGTGACTGTGCCAAGGTCTTGTGTAACTTGTCGAGTATCCGAGGGAACGAAGCTGCTCTCGTTGGGGAAGGAGCAGTGAGCGTCTTGATGATGATCAGTATGGTTCGTGCAGTCAGTGTGTCGACTAAGGAGACGTGTATCCGTGCGTTGTTGAACCTACTGAATGCTGAGACTATGAAGCATATGGTCAAGGAGGGACTAGTGAAAGTCTTGTCAGCTTTCTCTGGTCTTGAATCCAAGCAAGTGGCTACTTTTGTGACGATAATCTTTGGTAAATTGCTGAATCATTCGGTCGGTAGGAACGCTCTATGCGCAGAGAAATCGTCACTCCACGCTCTGTTCCAGTTAATGACATACGCAGAAGGATCCGGATCGGATGAGGAGAGACAGTTGGCATCATTACACGAAAAGCTACTTAGTGAACTTGTGTATTATGAAAATTCGCGATTACTTAGTGTCCAGGCTGGAATTTTGGATGCTCTTCATCGAATTTCACTGTATGAAGAGCAGTACGCGCACGATCGAAGTCACTGTGCTGAGAAGACTCTAGCTCTTGTGTTCTTTACGCTAGCGAAGAGTGCAGATAGTCGGATGGCAGTGGCGACTTCTTCAACTTTGAGAACAGTATTGAAGTTTCTAAACCTTCACCCTGCCAAGGGCGACTGTGGGGCGTCTGAATGTGCAATTTATGCAGCAGCAACGTTGTGTTGGTTAGGGTGGCATGAAGATACTCGCCAATATTTACAGGTTTCGGATATTCCGTGTGCACTTACACAGATGCTACAAATCCACGCAAATGGTGGTGACGAGAAGCTCGTGTTGTATTCGACTTCAGCTATTAAGACGTGTGTACTCACTCTCTGCTGCTTATCACACAATAATGAACTGTTGGAAGTAATGCTGAAGGAAAATGTGGTGACGTATTTGAACGGGATCCTCACCTCATGTACCAGTACCGAAACAACAGAGTCACATTTATCGACCGATCAAGAGTTTGTGGCACTGGTGTGTATCCTATTTCGTCAGCTCAGTCACGTCACGGGCTTTGCTACTGCGATTACTGATCAACCAGCACCAATTCTCGAGTTATTTTGCAATCTCGTTCAACAAATTGTGGCCAAACGTGACGTTAATTCCTCGCTTGATTGTGCTGATGCACTGTGCAGTATAGTCTTTACATCCACAGTCGCACCAGATAGCACCCCTGGTAAGCGTCGAGAGTCAATATTGACACCCAAACCTTCACGATTTCTAGTGGATAATCGAGTACTTAACGCTATTGGTCTACTCATGAGTGATGAACAATTACCTGAGACCCGTTGGCGCTGTTCTGCCAGTGTATGGGCATTGTCATCTGTACCTGAATACAGAAAGGAATTAGTCGAGTTAGGCGTCACCCCACTACTGGTTCATGAATCATACCGAGCGGCGAAGATCTCTTCGTTAAACACCCTCCAATGCTGTGCTGGTGCATTGTGCAGCCTTACTATTGTCCTTGAAGAGAAGAATTCTGCTAAAATGGTCGAGGAAGGAGCCTTGCTAGCGTTAATTCAACTGGCCAAGCTGGAGAATGAGACCATACGTGAACACTGCACTCTGGCACTGTCAAATCTATCTGGACCATCACCAAAAGTGGAGTCGGGAGCTGTGTCTGTGTTGCTGAATATGTCACTGGGCGTGGGATCAATGACGGCGTTAAGACGTGCAAGTTGTCAACAACCTGCAACACTAACTCGACCGCCTGTAGTGTCAGGAGAAAGACACAAAAAATTCGCCGTATTGCCCAACTACACGATCGAAATCACACAAAACAATGCGTTGGATGAACAGAAATTCGAGGCTAAATTATCTGCCAGTACCCCTCCTCCTCCTCAATTACCCGCGGTTGCTGCTGATTTAGTTGGCTCACCTACCAAGTATTCAAAGAACGAGACCTTAACTCAGCCAGGTCATCGTGACGAAGGGAGTTTTGAGTTCATGGAGACCAAATTCTTTGATAAACTGGACCCTGAAGAGAGCTTAGCGTTGATGACGGACACCGAGGAACGAGAGGAAGATACGTGGGTTGATACCCCGACAGAATATGCAGGAAATCAAGAGCAGGAGCGGGTTGTAGACTCTACCAAAAGCAGTCAGGCCCGTCGACCGTCTGAGCAATCGCACTGCATTTCTGGTCATAGAGTTGGAGCTGGAATCTCCATAGCTCCTAGCTATACTCTCTCACCACTATCTCGTGTGGTGATACGGAAAGCTCATGCAGTTCAAGTGGCTCGAAAACTTAAAGATGCCACGACAAGGAAGCGAAAAGATCACGAGATTCAGAGTCGTGGTATGCTTGGATCTCAATCTTCACCGAGTTTAACGAAGCCTACACTGGATAGTGAAGCACAGAAGAGTGAGAAAAAGACTAGACCTCCGCCTCAATTGGTAAGTCTCTCGACTTCAACGTCAACCTCGTCGTTGTCATCGTTTAGTGCGAATAGCAGTACCATCGACAACCAAGCAGCTCTTTTAGCTGCGGTCTCAGCGGCTGGATTGTACGGAGCTGCCCCACCTCGAAGATACAGAACTGATGCAAAGGGTAACTCGGTCTCTCTCAATGTCAAGGAGAAGAAGAGAGCTGCCAAGACTCGAAGGAAGGAGCGGGAAACTTCCAACTCTGAGCACTTAACAGCACAGCCAAAGACGCTGACACCAGCTACAAGTATTGAAGAATTCCAAGGGCAGGCAAAACTACTAGGACTGTGGAGCTAGTAGTAAAAATTAGGAATAAAGCTATTGAATTGAACCATACCATGTAACTTTTTGTACATATTGCTTCCGACCGAGCTATCCGTTGTTGGTTTTTTGCGCTGTACTGGGTGTTAGCGGTGGTAATGGGTTCGAGTTCGCACCACTATTGTTGCCATTCTTTGCTTGACTTGGTCGAGGTGAAGGCGACAAAAGACCCAAGCTACTGAGAAACCTGGGTGTTGTACCAGTACTCTCAAACGTCCCACCGAACTCCGCTCCTAGCGGTGATGGTAGCATCGATCCAAATGTGAGTCCAGTGGTGGCAAGGAGATGCAAATTGGGCTCGGAACTCTCCGACTCGGCCGAATTGTTACTGAAAGATACACCAGCCGAAACATTCAGCGCTCGTGGATGCAGACGAAGTCGAGCCGCCAACGTTTCTAGTACTATCTGAGGATCTGTTTGTTGATCTGCTAGCAGCCCATTAAGCACCTCTAAAGCCTGTTCCTTAGTGAACAAGGGGTGTGTACGCTGAGGTGGCACTCTTCCGTTCGAGCTCGTGAACGCAGCAACAGCCGATGCGATCCCAGCCAATAGATCGGCAGGAGCTTCAGGAGGCACGAATACTTCAGCCAGGGCGTCCACCAAGATCTGTTCTTCAGCAGGAGTGAGAGTGATCACACTGTCCAATACTCGAGGAGATGCTAGTCGCCCACTTTCTCCAATAGCTGCCGCTTTTGTCGATAGCGGAAGACCAGAATGACGAGGAAATTGGCCTAACTGCATGGTAACATGCTGTCCGTTCTCGATCCTTGCGATGTCGTAGCAAAGTTTCTGGAATCGCTCTTTGAGATCCACTGGACTCTTCCCTGGAAGTCGAGACGCCATGATTTCCCATGGATAACACACAGAAGAACTGCTATACGCTGCCAACATATTCTCGAATGCTGCGTCTTCCTCTTGGGTCCAGCGTTGGTCAACACTGTGCATGAATTGTCGTTCCTGTCGCTTCTGGATGTTCAAGTACTGGAGTTGAGCGAAGTAAAGTCGGGCGTGGTATATCACCTGAGCCATATCTCGAGTGCCCACTGCAGTTGTGATAGACTGCCACGCTTCGCCGATACTGGAGCATTGACCTCCTCCGAACTGTTCCAGAGCTAACAGGAAGCGCTGGTGTTCGTCTGGAGCCCAGGGATTGTCGTGCTGGTTGGTGCACAAGTTGAACGTGTTCATGTTGGTCGAGGACCCCTTTTTGCCCATTGCAGCAGAGAACCAAGCGGGCAGCGTATTGATGCGAGACGATTGGGAACGATGCAAGCTTTAGAGAAGGCGACCCACCACACTAAAAGGCAACTAACAAGAAACCACCAGCACCCGTTGAAATCTAACTAACGGTCAGAAAACTACATGTAGAAAGCTGAATTATTTCGTTTCATCTTTTTTTTTTAAAATAAAACTATCCAAAAATTCGATTTGGTCGTGTAAACTTAAACAAGTCCCAATTGGTACTTAACGAGCTTTGAATAAGCTTGTGTGTACTTATACGAGCTCACGTCGGCCGGTCGGTAATCTATTTAGCCCCTCAACAATTTTTAGTTGAAACAACACTTTTATTTCAAGGAATATACTTCTTCTTAGCATGTAAAATACTACCGAAAAATAGGCAGACTTGCGTTCTTTGTTACGAACAATCACGCTACGTTGAGGTACTAGTCCACGAGTTAACTTCTTCTTGTAGCGTGGTGTCGTTGATATACGGTGGGCGTCCAGCAAAGAAGCCAAGCACACGAACCACGTCGTCAATTCTCAGTCGAGCTTGCGGGGCTTGGCAGCACATTCTCTTTACAGCCTCCCACTGCACTTGAGTGAAGGTAGTAGTATCTGGTTGTTTGGGGAGCATCCCCTTCTTTACCTTGTTAGTGACAGAAGTGTCATCACTTATTTGTGCCCATGGGACTTTCCCAGTAAGCGCCTCAATGATGCACATTCCGAAGCCATAGATATCCGATTCGAACGTCGGTCCTACGCGCTTAATAAGACATTCTGGAGCTTTCCACCGTTTGGCACCACGTGGTTCCCCTCCATCACACGTTTGTAGGCAACTTAATCCAAAGTCAATCAGCTTGGCCCGATCATCACCACCAATCAAAATATTGTCACACTTGAGATCAGCATGCACGACTCCATGCATGTGAAGACCTTGTAGCCCGATCGCCGCGTCATGCAGATATCCCCATACCTTTTCCTTCTTGTCTTCTTGACATTGGTCAAGCCTTTTTCCATGGTTAAAAACCTTGCCTTTTTCACCAGACTCGTCAAGCCTTGTTCCACCAATATATTCACAGACGAAAAGCGGGACGCCTTTCGTGCATGCGCCAAACAAGCTGACAATGTGTGGGTGTCTCAAAGTGGACCAAATGTTGGCCTCTTGACGAAGTGCCTGGACTGATCCAAGATCAAAGTTGTTGAGCTTTTTCAGTGCCACCGGTGCTCCGAGCCACGTCCCGCAACAAACAGCAGCAAACGACCCGAAGCCAAGATCAGGACCTTGTCCAGTGCCCTCTGCGATGTTGTCAGTGGATAGAATCCATCTGGATGACACTAGCTTTGGTTGCCTACGATAGCGTTTTTGAGACTGTGAGGCGTTGAGACGGTCATGAGAACTCGAGCTTTTCCCAGGTACCTCGGCACTTAGCAACGTCTTGAGATCATTGGTATATCGTTCCGCAGCTTCATCAGCGGATTCGTGAGGCGATTCCACTGACCTCAGCTTCTCACATTTGAACGTGATGATGCCGCTTTTTGATTCATCGTCGTCATCATAGTCAGAGTCGAAGCTAGAGATGTTCCTGGTCGTGTAATCAGACATGACTGCAAGCAGATTGGCCTGTCCACGACTTCGTTGAGTCTGATTTGGAGGTGGTGGGGCTGATGCTATTTTATTGATCGCAGCATCCACAGCGATAAGGCGAGCCATACGCCTGACAGCATCAGCCATCCCGATACGATGTGATGGATCGACAGCACACATTTCCTTGATCAATTGCCATTCAGGGTCAGTAAATATTTCTGGTTGATGTCCCAGAGAATCCGTAATGCACACGTCACATCTCTCTGCAGCGTCGACGCGGTTGTCCGCAATGGAGTGTCCACACAATGCACTAACAATACACTGGCCTAGCCAATACACGTCGGAATCGAACGTGATATCATGTCCATTAACGCATGTCAATTTTTGTTGTTCAGGCTTGAAACTTGACATGAATCCAGATAATTTCCCATGATTATCCCAGTCAACAAGAATATTCTGGTAGGTTACATCACCATGAACAACTCCAATGCTGTGTAAATAATGAAGAGCGAGCGCGACGTCCAGCAGGATCGTCCAAACCTGCTTTTTCTGCACTCCATTTCCACTGATTTCACCAATTTCACTGAGATATCTGCTAAAATCTCCTTGTTCTGCATATTCACACACAAAGGTCTGGTCGTCTTCATCATCGCACGCTCGAAACAATTGGAGGATCGTCGGATGCTTTAGAGAGAACCACAACTCTGCCACACTTCGAAAGTTACACTCGGGACTTTTCTTCATCGTTTCAACAGCAACGACTGCATCTTTCCAGCGACCCACGTGTCGAGACACCAAATTTGACTCCGAGAAAATGTCACTTGAATAATCAATCAACTGTCTTGGTACATACCACTCTGGAACATCGATGCACTTGGCTGAAACCAATTGTGAGAGTTCTTGGATCACTTCGTCAGCAGTAATTCTCTTGCTTGGTTCGTATTCACACATGCGATTCACGAGACTCCACTCGTTATCGGAAAGCTCTTTGGGTCGAGGAGGCATTGCACGCTGGTTGCACACCTCGTGTTTAATCTCGTTGTCAGATACATTCGAGCCCCATGGAGGTCTCCCAGTGACAACGTAAATGATGCACATTGCGAGAGAGTAAATATCGGACGCTAAAGACGAAAGCCCACCATTCAAACACTCGGGAGCCTGCCATCGCAGCTCTTCTCTCTTCGACTTGGTAGTGCAGCTGGCTAGTTCCTCCACCCGATTGCAGGATTCGAGTTCCGACAAGTGTCCTTTCCCATCACGTCCAATAATCAGGTTTATTGGTTTCAAGTTGGCGTGGACGACACCTTGGTCGTGAAGATATTGGAGAGCAATCGCAACTTCGTGAGCTTTGCGCCAAGCTTCGACCCTTAAATGGGTTTTCAGATACCTCGTAAAAGGGTTGCGGTCAGCTACCTTGGTTGTTTGCATTGCCTCGCCACAACAACGACACCATTCGTCTTTCGGATCAGACGCTACAGCACAGCTTGGACACACTGCAGTTTTATTCACAGCGTCAAACACACAGAGAAGCAGTTGGCAATACTCGCCTTTCACCACGCTTTGAATACGCGTGCGTAGATCCTGATGGTACCGACGACTGTATCCATCGACTATACGCTCAAGGAGAGGGAAGTACCGTAAAACCCACGCACTCAGACCGTAAAATATACGACCGGGAGGCTGGCAACATGAAATGCTCTTTCCAGCGCTATTAAGAGTCGTCTCGAACAACTCCGCAAGTAGACCCATCGGCTCCAGTATGGAGCGCACACGGAACAGCAGCGCGCGTTTGGTATCGCCATGAAACTTGGCATTGATCACATGAATGAGATCAACCTTGTACTTTTCCATGTATGCTTTGTTGATGTTGCGCACGTGCACTAAAGGACTCGACACCAACATGTCGATGAACGTTTTCTTGTCCGTGCCCCACCTTCCTTCACCAGCCTTGTACAGGCTGTCCGCGTCCATAGTCGCCTGTTCACTCGTATGAATAGACGAGTTGAAGTCAATCACCTCGCCGCGCATTGCAGTCAGAACCACCTTCCTCAAACTGCCGCTCAGATTGCTGCTCAGGAACTCCACTAGGTCGACGTCGTATTTCTCCTTAAAAGTTTTCTTCAGCAGCGCAATGTCGGAATTCGAGCGAGTCATCACAACAGGGTAGATCCACTCCTTCTTCACACCCAGACCTCTTGTTGCGGTGTGTAGAATCTCAGCTTCTACGAGTTCTAGAGGACTTGCAAGCATCTCCAACAGAGTACCGTAGTCACTTTTGCTCTTCACCAACTCTGTCAAGCTCTGCTTGTACAGCAAACGATAGCGCCACCAGATCAGATAACGTTGCTCCGTAGTCTTTGACAGCAGCAGCGACGCAAGAGCAGATTCATCGGCTGCTGCACCGGAGCACACGCGGTGGATCTCCTGCACATCTGCGTCGATATCGGCACTGAACGTCATGCTCTCGTGTGCGTAGCGGGTGTACAGATTACTCATCGCAGCCGTGTCAGTAGCCAATGCGGCGGCAGCCTCCTCAGTGATATCTCTGGCGATTTCACCACTCAATTCCGTCGTCTCGATTTCCTCCACAGTCGTCTCCTCGGTCGTCGTCTCAGTCACCACGGTCGTCTCAGTCGTCTCAGTCGTCTCAGTCGTCTCGGTAGTCTCAATGCACACTTTCGCGTCCGTGTAGGTCACCTCCGTGATCACTTCACCGCTGTCTGAGACCTCCTTACGCATCGTCGTGATCACCGTCGTGACAACGGTACTCCCATCAGTTTCCCACGACACAAACACTTCCATCTTCACTACCTCGTCGGGCACAGCGCCAGTCTCTTCAGTCGAGCTGGTGGCAATCATGCCTGCCGTTGACGCAATGTCTTCAGCTACCCTCTCTTTTCTCTGCCTTTCGATAAGTTCTCGTATCAATGCAATGGCCATATCTAGTGTT